GGGAGAGATTTCTTTTTCTTTTTGCTCACCAAAAAAGGTAGGTGCAAACAATGGGAAATTTAGGGCAAAAAAGGAGAGTTCAAGATTTTAAAACACAAAAGAAAAAAAGTTCTATTTAACTAGGGAATTGTAATAATTAAGATACTATTAACTGTATATTGTGTTGAAAGCAGAAATGGTTAACTTGTGGTTTGGAGGAATATATGGGGAAATTATTTGGTTTATTATTATCAGTAAATATAATTAATTGATTTGTAAGAAATTGGATTGCATGGAAATAATTGGAATATTCATGTTCATATTGATTAATATACAAAAAAGATAGTTATATAATTAATTGATTTATATTAAAATGTTGAATTTATATTAAACTGTAATATTACATAACTAACCAATGTGAGGATGGATATAAAAATAGATGACAATGGGAAGGGGTATAATATAGAATAGAAGGGAAAAATTGAATTTGATTAAGATTAGAGATGAGGATGAAGGGTAATATTAGTTTTTTTAAAAAAAATAGATGAGGAATAAATATGGCAAAAAGGAAATATAGAAATTGTAAATTTAATTGAAATGACTAAACACTGTTTAAATTTGTGAACCGGCCAAATACTCTGTTCAAAGAAAATACATTGTATGTTTGTATGTTGTGTTTCTAATTATTGCTATTTATTCATATTTGTTCTCTTTTATTCTTTAAAGTTTAACAATTCATTCTTTATCTTAATATCTTTATATTTGTTTGGGGTTGGCTTTCTTCCCTTTCTTTTTTATTGTACAGCAATCTTTCTCCTCAAACCTACCACCTCTCTCTTTTCTTTCCTTTTTACTTTCTCTTCCCTCCCTCTTCTTCTCCCTACTTCCTCTTCCTTTCTCCTTCTCCTCCTCTCTTTCTCCCACTCTTACACTCACTCCTACTCTAATTTCCCTTCCCTTCCTTCCTCCCTTCTCCTCCTTCCTTCTCTTCTCCTTCCTTCATCCCTCTCTATTGCTGTATCCTTTTGTGCATAGGATTACTCAGAGGGCTGAAAAAGTTATTTTTGACTGGTCCTTGCACTTTTGACCAGTCCTCGAACTTACGACTGTCCTCACATTTTACATTTTTCGCCCTATCTTGTCACCATGGTGAAGAGAAGCAGTTGTGAAATGAATGACATGGTTGTTAAGAATGGTGCACGTGCATAAATGTGAGGATGGTCATAAGTGTGAGGACCAGTCAAAAGTGCGAGGACCTGTCAGAAATGACTTTTTTCAGCCCTCTGAGTAGTCCCTATACACATAGCCATGGCCACCCGGTCACATGACCAGCTAGCCATGCCCACCCAGTCACATGACCTCCAAGCCACACCCACAAAATAAGCCATGCCCACAGAACCAGTAGTAAAATTTTTTAGAACCCATCCCTGATATAGACAGCTTGAACCACAGGGCTCCCATGTGATCCCACATCACCCCTTTTTTTGGTAGTGTATGGAAGCATCTTGGAGAACAGTTGTTGAACATTGATAGCGTAGTTATTTGAAAGATAAGCAACACTCAAAAAGTGTAATAAAGTTCTTTAAAAGGGCCAACATTTTTTCCCAAAACTAACACCCCACCCCATAGCCTCCTACAAAACAAGAGAGAAAGTCCTGCACAATTTGCATCATCACTCTGACAACACTAGTCCAGGGGTGAAATGCTCCACGATTGGACCGGATCGCCCGGTCTGGTAGTGATCTTGGCCGTTGGTTCGGTGATCCGCTCACCTACCTGGGTGTCATTACTTCCTGGTTTTAACCAGGAAGTAATGTGTTTTTTTGCACATGTGCAGAAGGTCTGTGCATGCATGTGACGCATGTGCGTGCGCATGTAGCGGCACATGCGTAGCAAGCACGCGCACAGCACGTGCACTTCCAAACCGGTAAGGAAGGTAAGTAGATTTCACTCCTGCACTAGTCCATCTCAGACCAGGCATAAAAAGGACACTGTACATCTGTTCTGGATCATCAACAATATTGTCTATATTAACGTATTTTTTTGAAAGACAGATGGGGTGCATTTAGAATGTCTGAACTAGCCCATCAGTTGAACTTGAGATCTGTAAAAAATAAAAAACTGTAAAAATATGAATTTAAAAATCACAGTGAAACAATAAAAACTTAATAATACTTTCAGAGACAACAAATATCAACAAAATATTTATAAAACATTGAATGAAAAAGAATTTAATTAGCCAACACAAATTCTGAAATAATACAGAAAAATCTAATATTGGTAACATAATAGTACTGAGAATCGCTGATCTATTTTTGGTTCTAGGAATAATTCTGCAAAGAAACACAATTTCTTCCATTGTAACTGGAGTAGTATTTTATGACATGCCACTAGTTATCTTTTAAAGTACTGGAAGGAAATCTAATAAGTCAACAAATAGAAAAAGATCTATATTTAAGTCATTATAGAAACTGTAGATGCTATGATTTGTATGTCTGTATATATGCAGCATGATCTCTGTCTTTGTATATTTCACAAAGTAAGATTGATAGTAATGTTGTGTTTGCTTGTTTTTTTTCCTTATTCTTCTTCTGTAACATCTGAGCTGCAGTGTTCAACTGACATCAAGAATCAGAATAAATTTCATATGGTAAAGCTTAGATACAATAATGAATATAATTATGAAATAAAAGATTGTGCTTGACTGAACACAAACATTAGTTAAAATCGGGTTATGAATTGGGACAGAGGCATGCAACTTTGGAGTGGGAGGGGGGGAGGCTGAAGAATACACTTGATCTTTAAGTAGCCTGCCAGAAGCCTCCCTCCAAAATATAAACCAAGCCAGGAAAATACAGTAAGAGGGTAAAACAAAAACAAATATTATACTACTGTGTTTCCCTGAAATAATACCAGGTCTTATTTTCTTTTGACCCCTGAAAAAACAGCTAGGGCTTCTTTTCAGGGGTGTCTTAATTTTTTTGAGGTGCAGGAGGCGGCAAAGTGCAGAATAAGAATATAAAATAAAACTTTATAATGGTCATTGACCAGCAATAGACATACAATAAATTAAAAGAAATACTGACATTAATCATGAATAATAACATCTCTGTTATGAAAATACATGATCTCAAACCTAATTTACATGTGTGTAAAGCCGATAAGTATGTGAGTAAATATACTGTTATAGATATCTCAAAAAAATTGGCACCAGTTGACATTGTAATTCGGTAACCAATTTTTTTCTTATGGACATTGCAGCGACACAGAATTTTGCCACTGCACGCTTGGTAGCCGGATTTGAGTCTTCGAGGAGAAAACCTACATAAAAGTCATCTGTCCTCCCTGGCAATCTCTCTAGTAAGGGGAGAATGTATATTGACCTACATACTCTGTATAACTCACAGTACAATAAAACATGTGAGATATCTTCCGACGTCTCCCTTTCCACATATGCATACCCGTTCTGCTATTGGTGTTCTCTTGTACCTACCCTGGAGAAGTGCTGAGGGGAGAATATTAAATCTGGCTCTGAAGAAAGCTATTCTTTGTTTTGGGAAGATCAGATCATTTAGATATCCTGTTGATTCCCACACACCCTGCTTGATTCTGTCCCTACAGTGGAGAGGCAACCTATTTAGTTCTTCCTGGAACTCCATGTCCTTCATTCTATCAATTACCACTTACTTTGCTTTGTCAAAGCCGAGGGACATTAAGAATACCGATGAGAGCCCATAAGAGCCCAGCTTGTGATCTATCACCTGTTTCCAGGGGGAGGGGAAGTTGTCAGTCAGCACTAGCAGGGACAGTCCCTCTGGAAAGAAATGAATTTTTATCCAATAAATGATCATCATCTTCCAGGTTCTTACCTGAATTTGAGGCAAGTGCAGTCACCTCATGGCTGCTGGACCCCTTATGGCACAGCATTGCACTGGGAGGCCTCCATGGGTAAGATTTATTTGTGTGTCTTGTTCCAGTGAGACGGGTGCAGGCGGGGGGGCTTGGCAGCCAGGAAAGGTGGCGTTTTGGGGTGCAAAGGAAAAAGGGGCAATCTCACCTTACCTCCTCTGTCCTGTTGCAGAGCCGCCATGGAGCTTGCTCAGGGCAGCCTGACAGCTGTCAAAGGGGATCCTGGCAGGCCGGCAGTGGGGGAGATGCTCCAGAGGTTTTAGAGCTGAGCTGAGTTGCCTCACACCAGGCAGGAGCAGCCCAGGGGGGCTGCTGACAGCAATGCAGCCAGGAGGGCAAAAAGCCCGTGAGGGCAGCAGCAGCAGTTGCAGCAGTCGCAGCAGCCTGGTGGAGGGCGTGTGTGGAGCTGATTCTGATGGGCTGCATGGCTTTCTGCCTCATCTTAGCAGCAGCCTAAGCAAGACCTGAGCTCCAGGCCTGGCGGAGCACAAACTGTGCTTGCCGCTTGCTCCATAGCCACAAGGTGAGCTGTGGAACAGAGGGGCCCTCAGCTGCAAGGTTGCCTGGCACTGTGGGCAGGGCTGGGGCTATTAAGAGTGCACTGGAAATATCTCTGGGCTGCGGTTAAAGGACCCAGCAGCCATGAGGTGACCGGGGAAGGGGAGGCCTCCTGTGCTGGCCACACCCACCCCCTTCTCTAGGGCTTATTTTTGGGGTAGGGTGTATATTAGCCCCCCCCCAAAAAAAATTAGGCTTGGGCTTAATTTCAGGGTAGGTTGTATTTTCAGAGAAACACGGTAGTACAATATTAAACAAATAGTACAATATCTTTTAAATAATCTTTTATCACCTTAAAAATTACACTTAGGAGGAACTTTCAGAACAGCTGCCTTGGCCATTCTCAAGGCTTTGGAGACCATACACAGTCTTGAAGCTGAGTCCTTTATACTAAGAATTAAAATGCAAAATCACATCATTTCCTCCTAAATTCCCAAAAGATAGCAAGATTAGCAAATATATCTCCAATAGGTTATTTTAAAATTTGGTACTTTTATAAATAGGCATGGGGAATATTTCATAAGCAAAACCAAGTGAATAATCATTTCAAATACCTTATATAAGTGGCATCCACAGTATTTTCTAATCACAAGGAAAATTCAAGCAATGGGTAGAACAAGATACTTCAGTGCTCTGATTCTTTACCTGGTTTTAAAAAAGAAATAAATTCTCTTACATGTGCATCAACATTTTTCAGTTAGTTTTAAAGAAATGAAAATCAATAGCAATGTTTCATTTTCAAGATCCTTAGGACAGCAATCTTCATAAAGGAAAACAGAATTTCCAAAAATAAGTCCATCAAAGGGATAGTTCTATAGATAAAATATTCTACCTTACTTTCATTTTTTTCCCAGTAGACCTTATGCAAACTTTTTTTTTTTTTTTTTTTGCTGGAGAAGTTTTAATAATTCTGTTGTGATGTATTGGCTTGTTGAGGTTCATTTGGTATTGAAAGATTTGTGAGTTAAATTTTAAATGGATGATACGTGCATTATATCATGTACTGGATGTTGCAGTAGTAATAGGAGAAGGATGAATGATGTTCTTCTACTTTCACTCCTTCTTTTGAACATTTCCTTATCACCGAGAGATTCTGATTGCTTTATCAGCTCTCCCCAAACCACAAACCATTATTGTGTAATACCAAGCTAGAATTAAATCCTTCTCTTAGCTTTTAACTTCTCTGTTAACTTTGAACTTTCTTTTCCCTTCCCAGCTTTTAACTGCAATGCCAAGATTTGTAAGATGCCTGGAGGAATTTACCTCCCACTTAAGGCTCGCTGTCTGTTTGAGTGAACACCATTTATTTTATTATCATTTTAATGCTTTATATATTTCCCTTGTTCTATACTGTGCTGCTATGATATATTTATCCTGTGCCTTTCTATCTTTATTGCTTTATTTTTTAATTTGTATCCTGGGTTTTCATTCAATTTGTATATAGTTTTGAGAATTATGCTACCGGTAATGAGCAGTGTAGTAGTGCTTCATTGATCAATGTGCTGGCAAACATAACAGCTTAACAATGCCTCAGTATAAGTATTCCATACTTATAAATTTTTTACTTCTTAGTTAACAAAGGGTTGTGCTAAGTGGCAAAACATATTACTGATCTCAAAGTGCATTAGTATGATAACAATTTAAAATGCAAAGCTAATGAGACCTATGACTCTGGATCTTTCTAGAATAGTTTTTTACATCCACTTTTTATCTAATGAGAGAGGACAAATCTTGTCCCATATCCATTGGATGAGGGTTTTTTATGTGTGAAATGTGATATATCATTTTACATATCCTAATCCGTAAATATTCTGTTCTAACTCATAACTCATTGAACAAAGAATATCTAATTTAGAGAAATGCAATAAAGGAGGCCAAATTAGTAATCTATGGATGCAAAATGATACATGAGACAAAATATTTCTAATAAAAATCAGCACCTTGGAAAGTTACTTTTTTTTTCTTTATAGGTATTTTTTCATTTTTAAAATGCATGGTTACATTATAGTTTCTCAATCAAACTATATATTACTAAGCTTTGAACCTTTATTGTATATTATTTTTAAATAAAATTAAAAATATAAAAGTACCTTCCCCCACAAAAGAGAATAATTGTGTTTTTGAAACAACCAGGACTAAAAGCCTAAGAAGATTTAAAACAAGGATTTAATTAGAAAAGATTCAGTGAAATCACTCTTTCAAATGGAATCTTTGAACTGAATCTTCAGATTATTACAAGTTATAAAAATCTAATTAAATCACTGCAGAGAGATTCAAAGATGATTCTGTGATTTGATTTTCTGACTAGGGAAATCCCAACAGTTTTGCAGCTAATTTCCATAAAGAGACAAAACTTTGGTGGATGGAATATGACCGTGAAGGTGAACCTATGGTACGCATGCCAGAGGTGGCATGCAGAGCCCTCTCTGTGGGCATGCGAGCAGTTGCCAGATGCTCTTCCAGGTTCCATCGTGCACATGCATGCTGTCCAGCTGTTCTTTGCACCGGAACCCAGAAGAGAGCAGCTAGCCAGTGTGCATGGGTGCCGGACCAGCTGTCCAGCATGCATGCGCATGATGGAACCCAGAAGAGCAGCTGGCCAGTGAACCGGTGCTCTTTTCCGAGTTCCGGCGCTCTGGCGCATGCACGCTCCAGTTTCAGCACTCGGTGCCAAAAAAGTTAACCATCACTGGAACATGATCTTTGACTTGAATCTTTGACCAAGGAGTTTTATCATCTCTAGAAATATTCTTATCAAAGTGCTTGGGAGATTTTCTACCATATGTATAAACCAATACTTAACTAAAGAGTGAAACAAAAACAGCAAGGAAACAAAGGAAAGGCAAGAATCAAATTTATACTGCTGTTCTAATTTTCTATTGCTAACTTTTTAGCTTTTATTCTTCCTTAACTCCCATATTTAGCCAGAGGATGTCTTCATGAAACACACTTGGTTTGTCTGCCATACTTTATAAAACATAAAGTACCATATGGTTCAGAATGTTATATAAACATAGCCAACAGTGTTTAATGAAATAATCATTCAATTTTACACATCCTGTTTGGAACTTCTATTTTAATATGTGCAGACAGAAGTAGAATGGATAGAGTGCCCATCTTCCTTTACAGTTTGCCTTTTCACACAAAAAGAAAATGATAGAAAGGAAAATAAATGACAACAATATATACTTTAAGAATAACTGGGGAAAGAATAACGGGCAAAGGGTGAAATATATTCTTTCTCTCCAGTATTTCTCCACAGAAATGCATAGCATGTCCTCACTGGTTTTAGTATGTATGTATGTATGTGATTTTGTTTTATTTTATTTATACAGCTGCACAATATACAGTAGCCATTTTGGAAAACTTACATTTCATAGGTTTTCATACATTACATAAATTACTGTCAAAAAAGCCAACACAGTTCTGGGCTGCATAAACAGAGGGATAGAATCAAGATCATGTGAAGTTTAATACCACTTTATAATGCCTTGGTAAGGCCACACTTGGAATATTGCATTCAGTTTTGGTTGCCACAGTGTAAAAAAGATGTTGAGGCTCTAGAAAGAGTACAGAGAAGAGCAACAAAGATGATTAGGGGACTGGAGGCTAAATTATATGAAGAACGGTTGCAGGAACTAGGTATGTCTAATTTAATGAAAAGAAGGACTAGGGAGACATGGTAGCAGTGTTCCAATATCTCAGGGGTTGCCACAAAGAAGAGGGAGTCAAACTATTCTTCAAACCACCTGAGGGTAGAACAAGAAGCAATGGGTGGAAATTAATCAAGGAGAGAAGCAACTTACAACTAAGGAGAAATTTCCTGACAGTTAGAACAATTAATAAGTGAAACAACTTGCCTGCAGAAGTTGTGAATGCTCCAACACTGGAAATTTTTAAGAAGATGTTGGATAACCATTTGTCTGAAGTGATGTAGGGTTTCCTGCCTGGGCAGTGGTTGGACTAGAAGACCTCCAAGGTCCCTTCTAACTCTGTTATTCTATTCCATTTATATATTTAGTTAATTGCCATTACTGATGTTTTGATTGCCATCTAGTGATTCTACAGATGTCATAGTGCAATATTAATTTTTATATATAAATTATTGTCATAAATTAGTTCCATAAACAAGCATACATACACATATGTATTTGAATGTCACTGCGTTTTTGTATTTACCAGATGAGCTCATATTTTTGGACTTTAAGACTTTCCGTAGCTTGTCAAGTTTCTTATCAGTAAGCTAACTACGCATGTCCGCATTCCTTCACTTTCTTTCTTCTAACTTTCTTTGTTCTCCTGCCAGGAGAGGTCCGGCCGCAGAGAGGTGGCCATCAGGAACGTTGCCAAAATGTAATTATTTAGGTAGTGAGATGTTTTATTTTCTTTATAACAAATAAATGAGTTTTCCTTAGAAAAAATATCTTTGGGGTTTATTTTCTTGCAAAAGTATGCTTCAAGGAAAAGTCTCAATCCACGTCTCTAAATCAAGGTGCGATTACCCAAAAGCAGAATGGGATTAATTAGCACCCTGACATATGTTATATATGTTAGTGTTTGTTTTCTGAGGTTTTCGCGGGTGTTTGTATGTAGGTCTTTGGTTATTCGGTTTTTTTCCCATGTAAAATTGGAAGTGCAATCTGCAAATGCTGGAGTACATGAAACAATGAAATTCAATTCAATTCATTCACAGGTCAATTTTGCTGCTCTGCAAAAATCTAGATAACTGTTTGGTGGCAGCAAAGAATGCTAAGCCTCTCTTGTTACCTAGAATACTTTGCTAGTGGTTGTCTGGAATTTTGAAGCACAGATAGGTTAATCAATATATGCTAAACATAAACAATTTCAGGTTATTTCTGATAACCCACCACAATCAATCATTGCTAAGCATGCACTGCCTTTTTCTAGCAAAATATTCAGTTAAATCATCTCTCATTTATAGCCCCTAAAACAGCAGCCCCAATCTTTTTGTCACCAGGGACCAGCTATGTGCAAGACAATTTTTCAACGGACTTGGTGGGGGGTGGGGGGAGGATGGTTTCGGTTTCACTTGTTTGGCTGCTGCTCATCTCCAGCTATGCGGCCTGGTTTCTAAAATAAATGTCATGCTTAAACTGCATCTGCAATCTTCATTTTCTGAGAAATATCTAAAAAGGAAGGAAAACTAGAAAAATTTGCTTGCGTAAGCTCCAGACATCGTTAAAAGCAAAACCTTGCACTCTAATGGCCCTGCAATAAAATAAAGACAAACAAGCTGCAATTTTAAGTGGCACATTTTGATACTTCTTGTTTCCCACTGGTAATGAACCTCAATTAAAATGTGAAAATCCACATATGTGACCAACCAACAAACTAGAATACTAAGATAATGTATTTTTAGCAGATAAAATAGGCTTTTTCTCCTGGATTGATTTTGCCTGGAATTCTACATTGAACAAAACACAGTGTTTGATGCCAGAAAGTGTTTTAAATCAACAGCTAATTAGTTCTAAGATACAAGATATATTTCTACCAACCATCAACTAGACCTGTATTGAAATAAATATTTTTTCTCTTATATATATATTTTATATATATATATATTATATATATATATATTTATATTTTTTCTCATATATATATATATATATATATATATATATATA